CAAGCTCTGCGCGCTGTCTTTGACGTGCGCAAGTCGACGCGCGTGCTCCGCGCCGGCACGTGCTACGCGGTCGGCGTCGCCGCGTTCCGCCGCGTCGCGCCGCCGGCGGCCGTCGACTGGCGCTGCCCGACGATCGCGGCGTTCCTCGCGGAGGTCGTCTACGGCGTCGTGCTCTACGACCTCATCTTCTTCGCGCTGCACAAACTCATGCACGAGTCGCGCGTTGGCCGGCTCGCGCGCCACGGGCGGCACCACGCTGCGGCGCGCGTCACCGCCGCGGGCGTGCTCGACCACTCGCTCGCCGACGGCGCGCTCCAGGTGCTGGCGAACATCCTCGCGCAGCGCCGCGGCCCGCTCGGCGCGCCGAAGAACTTCCTCGCGCGGCTCGCGCACAACGTCGTGGTGACGTACCTGCTCACGGACTCCCACGCGGACACGCCCTACCGCCTCTCGCGCGCGTTCCCGCGCCTGCTCCGGGGCGCGCGCGACCACCGCGCGCACCACGGCCACGGCGGCCCGCCCTACCAGCAGTTTTTCGGCCACCTCGACGCGCTCTTCGGCGAACGTAAGGTACTTTCTTAGTTGAGCCGCCACCGGTCGTCGGCGCGGATCTTCGCCCCGATGAGGCCGTCCCGCCACATGTGGAGGCGGAACGCGCGGCACGCGGCGGACGGCGGCCGGTAGCGGACGGCGAGCCAGGGCCGCCAGGTGGCGACGCGCTGGCCGCGCTTCCGCGCGACGACGACGGCGACGACGGCGGCCTCGGCCCGCGCGCGCGCGACGGCGCGGGTCCACCGGATCCACGCGCGGACCGCCTCGCGCCGCAGGATCGCCGCGTCGACGGCGCGGAGCACCTCGAAGTCGCCGTGCTTGTCGAACTGGATCCGCGCGGAGTCGCGCGCCGTGAGGCCCATGCCGTTCTCGAGCGTCGGATCCGCGTGGTGCGCCAGGAGGAGCATGGCGGCCTCGGCGTTCTGGTGGTCCGCCGCCTGGTGCAGCGCCGTCCAGCCGCCGATGTCGTCCTCGTCGACGTCGACGTTCTTGTCGCCGAGGAGCCTGCGCAGCCACGGCAAATCGTTGTTCTTCACGGCGAGGATGATGTTGGGCTCCGGGAGCATCATCGTGGACGACGGGGGAGCGCGCGCCTCTCGGCGCCTCGGTGCAAAACGAGCTCACGCGCGGAGCCCGCGCGCCTCGGTGCCTCGGTGAAAAACCACACTCGCGCTCGTCCCATGCGGGGGCAGCCTCAACATCGATAACTTTGGCTCGCTACCCCAACAGAGCAGCAGCCCTTCCACGACGATGCCCGAGGGGGACAAATACACCGTGGTCGGCGGGCGAGGCGTGATCGTGCGAGAGGCGCCGGCGATGGACTCGTACGTGGTCGGCGAGCTCCGCAAGGGCACGACCGTCTGGATCGACGGCGGCAGGGCCATCGACGGCGGCGCCTACCGGGCCCACATGGTCGCGCCCCTCGAGGGCTACGTGACGCTCAAGGCGACGCTCCTCGAGCGGTGCCCCGAGGCGCCGGCCGTCGCCCAGGGGCGCCAGCGCGCGGCGGCGGCCGAGGCCGCGCAGAAGCGGGCGGCGGCGGCCGCGGAGCGCGCCGCCGCGGACCGCGCGGCGGAGCGCGCCGCCGCGAAGCTCGCGAAGGAGCGGGAGCGCGCCGCGCTCCTCGAGGCCGCGGCCGCGCCGCCCGCGGCCGCGCCGAAGAAGTGCAAACCCGCCGAGGAGGAGGCCGTCGCCGTGCCGCCGCTCACGGCCGCGGCCGAGGCGGCGTTCGTCGCCGTCTTCGCGCGCTACCGGCGCGACGTGCTCGAGGCGGGGGACCTGGACGCGAGCCGCGCCGGCGACGTCCTAACGCGGCGCTTCAAGGCGTCCTACGCGCGCCACCTCTTCGAGACGCCCGCGTCGCCCGAGGACGCGGCCTGCGAGGCGCTCGACGAGATGGACGCGTTCGTCGAGGACCGGCGCGAGCGGCGCCTCGCGCGGCGCCGCGCGGCCCGCGACGCCGCCGACGCGGAGCAGCGGCGCCGGAGCGACGGCCGCGAGGCCGCGGCGCGCGAGAAGCGCGCGGCCGAGGACGAGCGGCGGCGGACGCTGCTCAGCCTCCGCGACGACCGCGACGACCGCAAGGTGAAGCGCCAGGTGAAGAAGGGGCCCCTCTCGGCGCCGGGCGTCGCCGACGCGGTCCTCGCCGCGGAGCGCGAGCGCCAGGACGAGCTGCGGAAGAGCGCCGCGCGCCTCGCGCGGAAGCCGAGGAGGAGAGAGGAAGAAGGAAAGGACGACGGCCGCTCCATCCTCCAGCCCGCCTGGGTCGACGAGCGGCTGTGAGGGGAATATCTCATTATCGCGTGCTAGACTTCAACGTTGGTCACGAGTCGCGACGGCAAGGACTTGTGGGCGGCGAGCTCCCGGCGGACGGCGACCCCGGCGCCGGCGTGGCCCCGGACGATCGACTCATCAGGCCAGAACCGAGCAAAGCTATGGCTCAAGCTCTAGCCAAGCTGCCTGTGCTGGCGCTGCTGCTCGCCACGGCCAGCGCCTTCCGGCCGCCGCTCCCGACTCGCGTGCGCGCGGCGCCGCGCGCCGCGCTGCCGGACACGCTGCTGCTGCTCGCCGAGGCCACGGCCGACACGAAGGCGACGGTGACCGAGGCCGTCGGCGCCGAGGTCTATGGCCCAATCTTCTTCGGCGGGTACGTCCCCCTTCCCCCGCGCCCCGGCGGACCCCGCGCGCGCGCAGCATCGGCCTCTTCCTCGTCGGCGTCGGCGGCGCGGCGGTCACCGCGCTGCTCATCGACAAATCGGACGCCTACGAGCGCGCGCGTCTCCGGCGCCCGCGGCGCGCGCGCCCGTCCCGACGTATGTCCCGCGCGCAGCTCGCCGACGACTTCATGGCCGAGGGCAAGCGCGAGCTCGAGGCCGAGTTCGGCGTCGAGGCGACGGAGGCGGTCCTCTCGGGCAAGACGCCCGCGCGACCAGCGGCGGCGGCGCCCGCGGCCGAGAGCGCGCCCGACGAGGACGGCTACGACGACTGAGGCCGTTAGGACGCGTCGCCTAACTGAGGATCTCCGGCTCGGGCTCGCGGTCGCGCTCGTCGTCCATGTCGTCGATGGCCGCGAGCTCGTCCTCGACGTCGAGCGGGGGCCGGTCGTCGCCGCTCTCGCGGCGCCCCTCGTCGCGGCGCTCCTCGTCGCGGCGCCCCTCGTCGCGGCGCTCCTCGTCGCTCTCGCGGCGGCGCGGCGCGTCGCGGCGCGACGGCGACGCGGCGCGCGGCGGCGCGCCGGGCACGTTCGTGAACTTGGCCGTCGCGTCCTCGGCGGCCTTCTCGCGGCGCTCGCGGCGCGTCGCGAAGGCCTTGTCGTGCTCGGCGACGAAGGCGTCGTAGGCCTCGGCCTTGGCCGCGACGTCGCCGTCGAGGCCCTCGGCCGTCGCCGCGAGCTTCGCGCGCGTCGCGTCGGTGTGGCGCTTCGGGAGCCAGAAGATCTTGGGCTCGGCCTCGGTGCGCAGGAAGGCCTTGAGCAGGTCGCACTTGGCCGCGAAGTCCGCGTGGAGCAGCGCGGCCTCGGTCTTTCTCAGGTTCGTGAGGATCTCGTCGCGCGCCGCGAGCTCCTTGTACTTGACCTCCTTGCAGGCGTGCTTCGCCGCCGCGAGGGCCTCGCGCTTGAGCCGGTGCGCCTTGGACGCCGCGAAGTCCTGCTGGCTCCGCCGCTTCGCGAGCACGTCCGCGTCGGCCTCGAGCTTCTTCTTCGCCGAGCCGAGGTGGCCGAGCAGGCCGCCGAAGAGCCGCCGCGACCGCGCCTTGACGGCGCTGTCCTCGTAGACGCCGCGGCCGGACCGGCTCGGCGCGTCGGGCACGCGCCGCACGCCGCCCGCCTCGGGCCCGCCGCCGCTCGGCCGGCCCGGCCGCCGCGCGCGGTTCTCGTCGCCGCGGCCCTCGTTGTCCCGCCGCCGCTCCGCCGCGCGCTCCGCGGCCGCCGCGCGCTCGTCGCCGTCGTCGTCGTCGTCGCGCGCGCGCTTCCGGTCCGGCGGGCGGTCGGGGCCGCCGGGGCCGTAGTGGCCGCGGTCGCGGTCGCGGTCGCGGTCGCGGTCGCCGGGGCGGTAGCGCGCGCCCGGCTCCGGGCCGCGGTAGTCGACGTGGGGCGACGGCCCGTCCGGCGGCCCCCGGCGCGCGAACCCCGGGCGCGGACCCGCCCGCGCGGCGCCGTCGCCGGCCTCGGCGCCGTCGCCCTCCTTCGTGCGGTCGACGTCCTCCGACGGCCGATACTGGAGACCATTCGCCAGCGGGTTCTGCAGGCCCTTGAGGCGCCCCTCGCAGGCGACGCGCTGCTCGTCGAGCTCCTTCCACCGCTGGCGGAGCGCCTCGGCCTCGCTCGCGGAGGCCATCGGCTCGCGAGCTTTGCGGCAACTTTGTCGAGCGCCATCTGAGTGCCGTAAAGATGCAGCCGACGGGGCAGCCCGCTCCGGAGAGCTCGAGGTGCTGTGGGCAGCCCCTTGCGCGGCCTTGACGAGCGTGCGTCGCGCCGCGCGGCGTCGCCATGCTCCGGCTGATCGTATTCGCGCTCGCCGCGCGCGGCGCCGCGGCCGCCAACGCGGAGATCACCACCGGCGCGGCCCTCGAGGACGCCATCGGCGGCGAGCGGCCCGTGCTCGCCCTCTTCTGCAGCAAGACGGCGCACATGTGCGCGGAGCACCTGCTCGGCGCCTTCGACGAGCTCGTCCTGCGGCGCGACGACGTCGCGCTCGCGTCGCTCTCCGGCCCCGCGGAGCCCGCGTTGATTAAAACGCTCGACGTCCACGCGTACCCCATGCTCAAGTGGTGGCCGCCGGGCGGCAAGCTCGCCGATCCCGAGCCCTTCTACCTCGTCCACTACGGCGGCGAGTACGTCGACACGCTCGAGAGGCTCGTCGACAAGCGGCTCGGCCGCCACGACGAGCTGTAGCCGCGCGCGCTGAGCGTCCTTTAGCTGGGAAAGCCTCCGACGAAGCCAACTCCTCTTAGAAGAACATCCCCCGCCGGCGGCCGAAGCCGCCGAGGCCGCCGAGCCCCCCCATGCCGCCCATGGGCATGCGGCGGCCGCCGCGGCGGTTCTGGTTCTGGAGCATCTGGACGAGCCACATGAAGGTCATCGGCGACATGCCGAAGAAGGGCGCGTGGCCGAAGTAGGGCGGCAGCTTCCAGGCCGCGACCATGATCGCCGCGAAGCCCATCATGCCCATGCCGCCGCCCGAGCCGTAGGACGACGATCCGCCGTAGGACCCGTAGGACGACGGCCGGCGCGGCGGCGGCGGCGGCGCGTCGTAGGCGTCGCCGTAGGCGTCGTCGGCGTAGTCCGGGTGGCCCCGGGCCGGGCGGCCGTAGGCGTCGTAGGTGCCGCCGTACGTGCGCCGGCCGTATTTGTCGCAGCACGCGGGCCCCGCCGCCGCGGGCGCCGCGTAGCGCTCGTAGGGGTCGCTCGGCGGCGGCACGCCCCGGGGCCGCGACCGCGGGCCGCCGACGCCGAGGCGCTTGAGCCCCATGACGGCGCTCTGGACCATCATCAAGCCAAAGTAGAACGCGAAGACGACGGCGACGACGACTCCGACCTTGTTGAGGCCGTCGAGGCCCGCGAACCAGACCTGGATGTGCGCCGCGGCCTTGACCAGCGTGCCCAGGACGCCGTCGCCCGCGGCGAAGGCCGGGCCGGCGTCGCCGCGCGCCGCGCGCGCGTACGACGCGTTCGCCGGCTCGAGCTCCGCGGCCTTGGCCAGCGCCGCGCGCGCCTCGTTCCCGCGGCCGGCCTGGCGCAGGCACGCGCCGAGGCGCGCCCAGCCCTTGGCCCAGCCGGGCTTGATGGACGTCGCCGCCTCGGCGTCCTCGAGGGCCTCGCGCCACCGGCGCAGCTGCTGGTAGCACGCGCAGCGGTTGCCGTAGTAGACGTGGAGCTCCGCGTCGTCGGCGGGGCCCGCGGCGGCGATGGCCTCGCCGAAGCAGCGCGCGGCCCCAGCGTAGTCTTTGGCCGCGTAGAGCGACGAGCCGCGCGCCTTGGCCTGCGCGGAGGTCGAGGGCATCGCGGGCCCAGGCGTTTTTGCACTTGTGGCTTTTTGTTGACTTCGGCGAGCGTAGACTCTATGTGTGCGCGCTCGGCGTGATAGCCGCGTAACTACGCAAACACGTATCAAAGATAGCGCAACAGACCGCAGCGATCGCATCGCTGCAGCACGAGCAGCCAAACAGAGCACAACAGACCGCAATCGCTATGGCCGCCTTCCGCGCCGAGTGGGCCACGCCCGAGTACTGGCTCGCGTTCGCGCCGTCGCTCCACGTGGCGAGCGGGCACATCCTGAGGCGGGGCCTCGTGCCGTTCTGCACGGACGAGGCGCCCGCGGCGCTGCGCGCCGCGCTCGCCGCGGACGGCTTCTTCCAGCTGGCGCCGCCCGAGGACTGCGGCCTCTTCGACGACGGCGGCGGCTGGGGCGTCGACGTCGCGGCGCTCGGCGACGCCGTCGTCGCGCTCGGCGAGGCCGGCTGGCCGCCGATCTACGTCCTCGTCTACGACGAGGCCTGGGTGCTCCGGGGCCGCCTCGCGCACACGCTCCGGGGCGCGGCGGACCTCGCCGTGAACTTCGACTTCGCGGCCTTCCACGTCAAGGCCGGCGGCAACGCCCAGACCCTGGCCGCGGGCTGGGCGCCGCACCGCGACCGCGACGACGCCGCGCACGTCGGCGGCGCCGTCGCCGACGGCTTCGCGGCCGACGGCGCACCGCGCTGCGCGACGGCCTGGGTCGCGCTCTCGGACGCGACGCCGGCGACGTCCTGCCTCTACTGCGTGCCCCGGGCCCGCGACCCGGGCTACGCGGCCGGCGACGGCGGCCGGTCGCCGCTCGAGGCCTGCTTCGCGGCGGGGCCCGCGTCGTTCCGCCACGTCCGCGCGCTGCCGGCGCCCATGGGCGGCGTGCTGGCCTTCTCGCACCGCCTGCTCCACTGGGGCTCGGCGCCGGACGCGGGCGCGCCGCCGCGCGTCGCCGTCGCCTTCGGCGCCGGGAGCGAGACCTCGCCGCTCGCGGCGTCCGCCGCGGCCGCGGGGCGGCCCTTCCGCGACGCGCCGGGGCTCCTCGCGGCGGGCTGCGGCGTCGCGCCGCCGCTCGGCGAGCGCGTCGCCCTCGCCGCGGCCCAGCTGCTCGTCTACGCGCGGAGCGCCGACGCGGGGATCGCGGCCGACCGGCGGCGGCACTGGGCCTGCTTCGCGCGGTCCGCGGACGCGTTCGACGCCATGTACGCGCGCCACTGCCGCGCCGAGTTCGACCTGCTCGGGGGCGGGGGGTAAACGTCCATGCCATCGGGCGCGTGTAGGCCTGCGTGTGGCCGGCGACTCGTGACGACCCCCACGAAGGCCTCCACGAGACCCCCGGTGACGAGATCGATGTTCGGCGTGCCGAGATCGAGCTTCAGGGTGTGAAGCCGCCAGAACCCTGACTTGTGGCAGCACGCGTTCACGAGCAACGACACCTCCGACCATGCGTACCATCTCATTCGCTTTGCTGATTCCCACGCTTTGCTGGTGCCGGTGAGTCGCGCGCGCGCGCGCCGCGAACGGCAGACAAGCCCCCAATTTCAAACTTCGATCGAAACCTTCCCGTCACGTCCCGATCCCGCCGCAGGGCTTCCTTCACGCCGAGCAGCCGCCTGCTCTTCTCGCCCGACATCCCGCACAGCTCGAACAACGCTCTGCAGCCTGTCGGCGACGTGACGTCGTCGTACGATGGCGACTCCGTCTGCGTCGTCTCGGAGCACGGCTCCCTCTCCGCAGGCTGCGGCCAGCGCGTCTTCCAGCGCGCGGCGGTCGACACACGGCGTGCGCACGCGGCGGCCCACCACCCCCTGGCCTAGACTGCGACAGGCCCGCGCCGCCGCGAAACGCGGCCCGCGCCGCGTCCGGGCTCCCCGCCGCGCCCCGCTCCGCGGGACCTCCGAGCCTGTCGACGCCCCGTGTACCCCTCCTTTGTAATAATCCGCCGAGACTCGCACTGGCTGCCACGCGGCTTCCTGCCACACACTGTGCGACGCGGCCGCGTCTCCGCGGTGTGCGACGCGGCCGCGTCTCCGCGCGCGCGAGCGTCGGACAGCACTGGCGCGATGCACGTCGGCCGGCGTCTCGCGGGCTCTGCACGTCGACCGGTGCGGCGGCAGCGGGCGCGCGCCGCGGTTGGTGAAGCGAGTTTGAACCTGTGACTCTCTGAGCAATTATGGGCAGCTCGAGCGGCCACGCCCTCCGCCGCGGCGTCGCGCTGGCGTGCGCGATCGTGGCCTGCGTCCTGTACGCGTCCACGCGCCGCTCGCCGTTCTACGGCGCGACGCTGCGGTCGCCGCGGCGCCGGCGCCTGTCGCTCATCCTCTCGGCGGACCCCGGCGACATGATCGGCGGCTTCTCGGAGGCCGCCGTGCTCCTCGACGTCGCCCACGACCTCGAGACCATCGATGTCGCGAAGGAGGACCTCTTCTGCCCGACGGCGCACCGGGGCGACGTCGCGGGCCAGCCCGTGTTGATAGTGACGACCGGCATCGGCGCGACGCGCGCGGCGCTCTGCCTCGACTCGCTGCTCCGCGTCTACGGGCCCGAGGCCCGCGAGGTGCTCTTCCTGGGCACGGCGGGGGGCTCGCCGGCCGTCGGCGGCATCCTCGACAGCGACGCCTGCGGCGCCGCGAATCAAGGCGCCGCGGCCAAGCTCGTGCGTCTCGGCGACGTCTGCGTGAGCCCCTTCGCGACGGACTGGGACTGCCAGCGCTGCTTCTGGGCCGCCGAGCCCTACGCGAAACCCGCGCCGGGCGCGCTGGCCGAGGCGCCCGAGACCGCGCGGTCGCGGAACGCGTGCGCGAAGGCGCCGTGCAGCCCCGGGCGGGAAACAAAAATGTTCGACACGACTTCAATATGCATGTTTTTGCACGACTTTGACATAGTTCTTTCACTGTCCAAAAGGAACCCGCCGAGAGAAAACGAATTGTCCAAAAATCAGCCGAAACGACTTCGATGTGACCGAGCGAGAGAAGTTTTTGCTGGACGGGGCGTTCCACCGGTCGTTTCCGGCGCAGGTGCAGCCTCCACGACCGCTGGGACCTCTTCGGCGACTTCGGCTGCTCCTACTTCACGGAGCCGAGTTTAGCGGATGAGGTGCTCGCGGCGACGCGGAACCTCGAACACACGCCCCGGGCGCCGCCGGAGCTCCGGGCCTTCGAGGCGGGCTACTGGGCGGCGACGGGCGCGGCGCGCGGCGCGGAGTCGTGGGCGGCCGCGTACGCGCGCGCGGAGAAACGCGACGCCCGGGCCTGGGGCTACGACGTCTGCGGCGAGGCGACGAGCGCGACCTACTGGAACGGCGCGCCCTACGACGAGCTCGCGCGGGGCTACGTCGCGGAATTGATGCGGGAGACCGCGGCCGCGTACCCGAACGGCACGAGCCGCGCCGCGTCGTCGAAGCGCGACGTCCTCGCCATCTCGGCCATGGAGGGCGCGGGCTGGATGGCCGTGCTCAAGCTCAGCGAGACCTATCTGGACTTCGCGCACCTGCCGAGCGCGAACGTCCGCGGCGTCGCCGACTACACGCACGACCCCGTCGTGCGCTACGCCGACGACGTCTGGCTCGAGGACGCGACCTGGGTCTCGCCGGAGGGGCGCGCGAACGCGACGCGCGCGGGCTACGCGTTCGCCATCACGACGACGTCCACGGCCGTCCTCGCGCTCCTCCAGAGCCGCGGCGACGGCCTCCACGGCGACGTCGGGATCGGGGGGCGGTCCTAATTTTAACATCACGACGACGTCCACGGCCGTCCCCGCGCTCCTCCAGAGCCGCGGCGACGGCCTCCGCGGACACGTCGGGATCGGGGGGCGGTGCTCACTTTTACGACGCCGCCGCCGGGAAGGCCGCGACGGGCGACGAGTGGGCCTCGACCTCCGCGGCGACGAGCGCCGCGAGCTTCGCGGCGAGCGCGCCGTCGCTGTTGTCGAACGCGCGGAGCAGGTCGCCGGGCCGCGACGGCTCGCCCTCCGCGGGCGCGTAGAGCTCGTCGACGGGCAGGAGCAGGCGGCTCGTCGACGACACGAGCGCGCCGTCCCAGGTCCCCGCGGCCTTCACGTCCGGCGCGCGGAACTCCACGGGCACGCCCTCGCGCGCGCAGACCTCGAGCGCGAGGCGCCGCACGGTGCCGAAGAGCACGCCGTCGCCCGCGGTGACGAGCGCGCCGCCCTCCACGGCGAAGAAGTTCGTCTGGGACCCCTCGAGGGCGTAGCGGCCGCCCTCGAGGAGCAGGAGCTCGTTGACGGGCCCGACGGCCGACGCGGCCATGAGCGCCTCGAGCGGCGCGCGCTCGCGGACCCAGCTCGAGTCCTTGGCCGCGGCGTTGGACCGCGGCGCGCCGCGCGCCTCGACGCGCACGGGCCGCGCGGGCGGCGGCGGCAGGGGCGCGACGTGCGCCGCGACCGTTGTTTGTTCCTCCCAGGCCACGAGCACGGTGACCTTGAGCTCGTCCGCGTCGGAATCGGCCCGGAACGCGTCGACGGCCGCGCGCACGGACGCCTCGAGCCGCGGCCGCAGCGCCGCCGCCGTGCCCGCGGCCGCCACGGCCGCGGCGCCCGCGGCCGACGGCGCCGCCGCGACCATCGACGCGACGCTCTCCGCCGTCCGCGCGACGTGCATGTCCCACTCGAAGAGCCGCGCGCCGTTGGCGCAGGTCCGCGCCGTCGTGTAGGCGCCGCTCGGGCCCGCCGTGAGCCACTCCTTGGACGTGAGCGCCGTGCGCTCCGCGACGCCGTCGACGGCGACGACGAAGGGCTTTGTTGGGGTCGTGCTCAGGGCCCGCGCCGAGAGCACGGACATGGCGAAGAAGCGCATGCACGTGGTTTGGAGGCGTGTGTTGCGAGTGCTGCGAGTTGTTGCGGTCGCACTGGAGGTTGCTGCGGCTGCGTCGACGGCGGGCGCTCACTCTGAGGTGTCGCCTTGGCCTGCTTGTTTGACGGCAACATGAAGTCGAGCCGCCCGTTGCCGATGAGCGCCGGCCGCACCGATTAGCAGCATCCGCTCCATCGAGCAGCGCCCAACGCCGTCTGCGATGGCCGCGCAACTAACGATGTACATTGTCCGCAAGAAGGGCGCCCTCGTCCGCGAAGGCGCCTCTCTCGACACGCGCGAGATCGCGGACTTGGCTCCCGGCACGCGCTGCGAAAGCGACGCGATCGAGACCCTGCCGTATGGCAAGAAGCGCGTGCGCCTGGTAACGCCCGTCGCGGGGTGGGTCAGCGCTATCTCTTTAAAGGCCGTCGTCGACGAGGCCGTTCCCGCGCCGCCGGCCGTCGAGACGATCGCCGCGCCGCCGACCGCCGAGGCTCCGCCCGCGCCGCTCGAGGCTCCGCCCGCGCCGCTCGAGGCGCCGCCCGCGCCGCTCGAGGCGCCGCCCGCGCCGCTCGAGGCTCCGCCCGCGCCGCCGCCCGCGGCGGCGCCCGCGGCGTCCTTCCGCGAGCGCTTCGACCGCGGGCTCAGCCTGGAGAAGCGGCGCGAGGCGGCCGCGGCGCCGGCGACGCCGCCGCGGCTCGCGCCGCTGCCGGCGGCGACGTTCTCGCCCGGCGGCGCGGGCGAGACGGCGGTGTCCGCGGTCGTCGCGCGGCCCCTCGGCGCGGTCTCGCCCGTCGACGAGCCGCCGCCGCCGCCGCCGTCGCCGCGCGCGGCCTGGGCGCCGCGGTCGCCCGCGGTCGTCGCGTCGGAGGCCGAGCGGACGATCCGCGACGCCGTCGCCGCGTCGTCGCCGCACTACCGCCGGACGCACACGCGCGAGGTGCTCGCGAAGATCCCCGGCCGCCGCCGGCCGCTCCGGGATTGGACGAACGTGCCGCGCGCGGACGCGGGCAAGCCCCGCGGCACGTCCGTCGTCACCGCGCTCGACTCGGGGTCGCTCGCCGACACGGCGGCCTGGGCCGCGGGCGACTCGCCGCGGTCCAAGGCGCGCCGCCGCTTCGAGGAGGCCGCCGCCGCCGAAGCGGCCGCGGCGGTGGCGGCGGCGCCCACGGAGCCGGCGACGCCCGCGGAGCCGGCGACGCCCGAGCCGGCGGTGCCGGAGGCGGCCGCCGCGGAGGCCGCCGCGACGCCCGAGCCGGCCGCGAATGTCGAGTCGGCGGTCCCCGAGGAGCCGACGCCGGCGCCCGCGGCGACGCCGGCGCCCGCGGCGACGCCGGAGGCGCCCGCGGCGACGCCGGAGCCCGCGACGACGCCGGCGGAGCTGTCGCGGACGGAGCTGCCCTGGAGCGCGGCGGAGCCGGCGACGCCGACGTCCCCGCCGGCGGACGACCCCTTCGAGCGGCTCTACGACGTCAAGATCGACGCGACGTACGCGACGCCGGCGGCCGAGCTCGGCCGCGCGAAGGCCCGGCCCGCGTGGCGCCTCGCCGAGGGCGCGCTGTCGCCGCCGCGCGTCGTCGCGGCCCTCGCGCCGACGACGCCCAAGGGGCGGAAGCGCCTCGCGACGATGTTCGTCGCCCTCGTCGTCCTCGGCGCGACGAACCTCCTCTCGTCCTTTTGGGGCCTCGGCGGCGGCCAGAAGCCGTACGCGCCGGGCACGCCCGTGCGCCTCCGCGGCCGCGCGCTCCAGCGGCCCGTGAGGAAGAACTGATTGCGCGCCCCCGCTCCATCCCCACGGACGTCCGTGTTTCGTAAGGGTCGTTAGGCCTCTGTCGCGCACGCGCCATCCGCCGCGATACTTCGTGAGCGCGCTACCGCCCCGCGTCGCTGACATAGGGCGGTCGTCGACAGCATCCGGGATCGTTCGGTACGTCGGGACGGGGTCGGCGGGCGACGCGTTGCGACGCGCTAGCCGCGCGGTCGACGGGTCGTCCGCCGAGGTTCCAGAGCATCATTGCCAAGACCGGCTGCGCGGGCCAAGAGCTCGACGACGACTAGTCGCCCGCACGCGCGGCCGCGCGGGCCGTCCCGAGCCGGTCGGTCGATCCCGTCGGAGGAGCGACGCCCGCGCGACGTCGTTCGACCGCCGCCGCTCGGCGCGAGATTTTGGTCCAAGCACGACCGCGTCGTCGCCGACCCGGACCCGCCGCGCTGGAGCTCCGGGAGCCCGAAGACACCGCGGTCCGCGCGCGGCCGACCTGCTCGGGAACCCGTTCTCGGAGCGGCGAGCGCGGACCGATTTCGGCGCGGCGCGAGCTCGCGACGGCGCCAGTGACCGGGTCCAGGGGTTCGACGAGCGGATCAAAGCCTCAGAGGGCGCCGAGGAACCCGGCGGACCGCGGGGCCGCGCGCAGACCGCGCCGTCGCCGCGACGAGCCGAAAGCTGCCCGGGCGCGAGAGCGCGGTCGCCGACGCCGGCCGCGGCGGGTCCGCGGCCGAGGACGGTCCCGGGGGGCTCCGCGGAGGCGGTGGCGGCGGCCGGGAGGGCGGCGTCGGCGCGCGGGGCGGCGGCGACGACGTGCCGCGCGGCGTCGGCGCCCGAAAGCTGCCCCAAATGGCCAAGCTTGGGGAGGCTGCCCCGGGGCTGCCAACGGTGCGACGCGGGTTTACTGGATAGATTGAAGCGTATGACTACTCCGCGACTGGATAAATGTGTGACAACCCGCAAATAGCAGCACTATTTTTGACCAACAGTGGCGAGTAGTCAGAGCTTTGTAGTATACTGTCGAAAAAATCGCGACTACTCGACAGACCGCAAATGTCGTTTTGTCGCAGTGTGCCGCCTCGCGCATACCTTATGGAGGAGGCAGAAATTCGAATGAGTTTCAGCCTCCCCGCCGGTCGACAGTTCAGCAATGAACAGTCGAGTGGTTCAGTAGACTGACGAGAGTCTCTTGGGTGGGTCCACTGGTCGATATCAGTGGTCTCGCTTGGGGATGATCAGTGTCTTACTACGGAGTGGTCGACTGGTTTGAGTTTCGCTACTCTCGGTCCCACGAAGTACCGCCAGGTCAGTTCGCTGAGTCTGCGCGACCTGATAGAAGACTCTTGCGTTGGTACGCCATGCGAAGAGTGGTCCTACTCGTAGGACCGGTTCTATTGTGCACAAGTCGCATGCGACCAGTGGTCGAGATAGGTTTTCTAGTAGAACCAGGTCTCGGTCGCTGAGCGTGCAACGAAGGCCCTACTCCGGGAGTCTACGAATACTGGTGACCGTTGCCTATGGACTGTTCGCTCTGCATCTCGCAGGCGGGCGTCGAGGTCGGTGTGCTTTGCTCGTTTGGTCCTCTCGGTTTTGGCGCTTGAAAGTGCGAGAAGGTTGATCCTTCGACACGATCGATTGGTTCGACGTTCCATTGGGGAAGCCCTTTGGAGTCTCGTCGGACCGGTCGTTCGACGGTTGCTTCGGCGACTGTCACTCTACGCTATTTGCAAAAAGCGCCAAGGCTCTCGGTTTTATACTGAGGTCGAGTCGCGACTGAAGGACACTTTGTGTTCCTTCGGTGGGAATAGCAATCTGGTTGATTCTGCCAGTAGTCATACGCTCGTCTCAAAGATTAAGCCATGCATGTCTAAGTATAAACGATTTTGTACTGTGAAACTGCGAATGGCTCATTATATCAGTTATAGTTTATTTGATAGTCCCTTACTACATGGATACCCGTAGTAATTCTAGAGCTAATACATGCATCGACTCCCAACTGCTTCGGCGGACGGGACGTATTAT